ACGCGGTTTGGTGTTCTTCGCTGCATAGCGCAGTTGTTGGTGTGTTCTCATCCAAACAGGCGGTCCCGCAAAAAGAATAATTTTATCCCTTAGTCTAGACACTGGCTATTATTAATGACATTTCTAATTAAATGCGATTCTTTTAGGGTTGATGGTGCTGGCAGCTACTCAAAAAATCCTAGCGGGCGCTTGAAAATCCATACAATTGGGAAAATATAATTTCCACTATTTTAGTAAAATCTCCGCTTTCCCCCATTTCCGCAAAAACTCCCGTCTCGTTTTTCTCCGATTGCCTTGCTTCGTCACTGTAATCGCTTTCCTTTTTGAAGGGTGCATTTGCGACGGTTTGTAGGAAAATAAAATCGAAATATTCGCGAGCTTTATTATAACTTTTTATTACATAATACAATGTGGATAATAAATACAAGTAAATAATGAAATAAACGAATAAGAAGCTATATTAATAGAATGGTATCGTAATGGGCACAGAAAAATCCACATTGCCGTTGGTTACGACAGTTCATAAAGACGAAATTTCATAAAATCTTACGCCGCAGCACATAAACTGCTGGGACTAAAAACGGAGCGACCTACGCTTGGTCACGCGCTTCTACACGAATCATAAGTCCTTCAGGTACCACATGAAAAACACGGCTAACTCCTCTACCGACTCATGTAAAATTTGTCAAGGGACGAATGAGCCGTTACATCGCATTCTACGCGGATGTGAGGGCATCTGCCGAATCGGACACCATGTGTTTAACGAGTGGTTTATAACGCCGGACGCGGTATGATACATCGAACCAAAAAAGGTAGAATGATACGAAATTCAAACCGGGCCCCTGGCTATGGGCATGGACGAACACAACAGATCCTTTATGTCGCGCGGCACGGGTTGATCACACAATTAATAATAATAATCTGAAGGTCTTCTAGGCGTTTTACGCATCCACACAAATTTACTATGGGTATTCGGATCGAAGTATGTAGAAAAATTGACTTGGAAGTGTCTGTTTGTCGGTGGATTTATTAAAACCTAGAAGGACTTAATATGGATCCATTATGTGGAACGGTCCTGGAATCACTTACTGAATCGATTTAAACTTTTTTTTCCATCTGCCTCTCTTTCCACGTACTTTTTTATTTAACCCAGAAACCACAATTTTTTAGATATTTCGACGAAATTTAGTACCTTGATGCATTTTGGCTCAAGGTAGAACACGCTTGAATATCCAATTAATAGCATAGAATAGAAGAATTAATAGAATCTCCATTACCATTCCCCAATACCTCATTGTGAAGGAGTAGTTATATCAAATAAAATTGCACTGTTCAAAATTTCAGGACAAAAAGCAATAAGTAGTAGCATACCGACAACCCTCTCTTTCTCTGTCTCTTTTTCTCTTTTTTTTATAACCCCCTCCCGCACAAATTTTTGGACGATGTTAGAAAGGAATATATTTATACTCTCAGGCTGGAAAAAGGTAAGGGCTGGACACAATTTTGTGAATAGCGACATGTCAATCTCAGATCTTTGTGCAAATTTTTAGAGGTATCACTTAATATCGTTCTTCCATACCCATACAATTTTTTAACGAGTACTGTGACGAGCATGATGGACTTTCTGGCTCTATAATCCCATGTGTGTCACTTGATAAGGAACTTGATAATTTTTTCTTAAGTGACATATCTCCCTCAGAACTCGATCAAGACATTAATCTCTCAAAAGACTCACCTCCGGGCTTAGGTGGTATTTACAACAATCACCTCAAAGTTTTTAATATTGAAAACAGATTATTCCAATTAAAAGGGTTTAACAATATTGTAATTACCGGCTATATACCTTCTTCCTGGTACGATTTCCAAACCTTCACTTTAAGACAAAAAGAATAACTTGGAAAACTTTTCGAGAAAGTGTTATACTCACGTTTAGAATGGTACGTCGAGTCGAAAAATAACCTCCGCAATCTTCAAAGTGGTTTTAGACGTTTGCAGATCTGCCCAAGACGACATTATCACTTTGTGATCAGCAAAAAATTCATCGTTTGCTAAGAACCACATTCTCATTGCCTGCTTTCTGAACATAACCCCAGTGTTCGAATCTGTCAATATTAACATTTTAAATTCTATTCTTCTCTCTTTGAACCTCCCTATCAAATTCTGTAGTTTTTTATATAACCTCTTTCTCTATAAGAACATGTTAATTAACAATAATGATGTTGTTGTACAAAAGAGATGTTTTACAGGTGTTCCTCGGTTGAGTCCTCTTTGCTTTAATTTATATATGAATAAAATTTTCAGTTTACTTCCTCAAAATATCTCAATTCTGGGCTATGCTGACGATCTTATCATTTTTAGTTCCAACTCTCTTCCAGATCTATGTAGGCTCTTCGACACTATTTCCTCTCATTTTGCGTCACTTCAACTCACACTTTCACTCAATAATGCTAAATGCTTGGTCTTTTCAAAAAAAACGAGAGATCCTACGGTTACTCGTCTTCTCATTTATAGTTCTTTTATTCCGCTTGTTAAAACGCTCAACTTTTTACAGTTTGTTTCGCACTTGAAACTTTCCCCTGCAGCTCATATTTTACAAAATTGCCAAACAATGTTTTCAACTTAATAACGTAATGAAATTCATTTATTGTATTCCTTGGGGCTCGTGACACTTTTTGTATGATTAAACTGTCTCTTGGCTTAGTCAGCCAAAAATTAGAATATGCCTGTTCGCTCTTAGTGAACATCCCAATAAAAGACTTCTGAAATTATGCAGAATCTAAACAAGAAAAACGTTGTTTACTCGCCAATTTTTCATCTAATAAGGTTCTATCTTTTGAAAATCATTCACCTTGAAGTCCACACACACACACTAAGCTTTGAACAGATGACAAATGTTATGCCTATAAAAGAAAAACTTCGTTCACTCGCCAATTTTTCATCTAACAAAATTCTATAATTTGAAAATCATCCGACTTTACCTTTCGTTTACAGCTTCATATCACTCAATTCCTCTCCTTTCTTCTTTAAAATTTATGCTGACAAAATTAATAACCGAAACATTGTAAGAACTGATGCACATAACTTATTCAAAATTGCTCTTGGTTCTCAATACTTTCGACTAGTAATTAAGTTCTTAGCAGTTCTGTTCTGTTCTATGCTAGCTGGCAGACGAGACGGATATAAAAATAGTAAATAAATAAAATAACGTGGCGAACGTATAACAAGCAAAATTAAAAAGAGTTTAATCAAATGAACACTAAAATAAATAAATAATAATATTGTGTACCAAATATATGCCCTACTTTACTAAAGCTCAAACAAAGAACTCTGTGTTCACATTGGGCCCTTTTTAAATATCTCAGCGAATTTTCGGATGTTGGTTTGCTGAATAACAGAAGAAGAAGAAGATAAATGTATATAAGTCGAGGCAATGTAAAATGATTAAATCTAAGTGGGACTCACCGCTTCCAATATAACTGCTACAGCTACGACAAACGCTTTCAGAAAGGTTTCTTTATATGTTTTCCATTAACTCAAACGGTCTTTCGGTTCGGCAGGAGAAAGAGAGGCAGAAAAGGGTTTTCACCCACAAACCCATTCACAATAACCAATAGGATTGAACGCTTATACCCAAGGTTACTTTTGCTTTAAAATCTGAAGATACGTCAGTTGATTCAAAAAAAAGGAAATTATTGACCCGCTCAAAAAGTTAACAAATAGTATAAATGGCTCTGTAAACAAAACAAGTAAGAAAATTATATTCAATCGTGACCGAATCTTTTATAACCACCACTGTTATCCTAGAAAATGCAAAAAACGCAAAAAAACTTATAATACGAAGTGGGCGCAACTGACTTTTTCCATTTTCAAATAAAAGTTTTTGCCGCATAGTCATACGGGCGGATACTACACGATTGGGCAGACAGGCATGCTTGAATTGATTTAGAATATTATATATATATGTATAGAATATATATACTATATAGGGTCTCTGACGCTTCGTTCTGGGCGTTGCAAATATTTTGACAGAATGAATGTATATATCTCATCTTTCGGTGATGATACAAAAAGAAAGAGCTTATAGTCTTGGCTGCTAATGCTTATTCTATCTTTGAAATCGTACAGTTTATTTCTTTCGTCTAAATAAACTATGACAATAATAAAATTTGTAACCAAGTTATACATGCAAACGTAGAATTATCTCTTTGCTCAGTTAAACTTTCCTTAAGATTTGTACTCGCCTATGGCAGTAGCACCTTTGTACACTTGTTTCAAAGAGAAATGATTTAAATCTTTATTAATAACCTAACACTAACATGAACGAAAATCGGTGTAAAAATTGTTTGATATTTTGCAATTCAGTTTATTCTGAAAAGCGAGAAGATAAAAGACATGAATACAAAAATTCATATGCCGTTTTTAACTTTTGATTGCGTTTTTATTAATGTTGTCTCCGTTGTTGACACAGTTGTGGAACACTGCCCCATTTTTAACGTAGTTGTGAAGGCTATCTCCTTTTCATAAAAAAAATTTGCGAAATCTTTGACAGAATGAGAACAAACAAATAAAACCAATCAAATTGGCTCTTAACGTGACAGCATTACACTATTATCTTAACAAACGCTGATTAAAATAGCAGTTAATTTTATTTCTTAATCAACGATCCTCTCCTTCGCATATCTTATTGAATTACGTTTTGTCTCTAATTTTACAAATGTATCCCAACTTTCATGTTTAAAAAATTCTTACAAAAAATAAGTAAGTTGCGAATTAAAAATTTATGCTGTTTACTTATATTAAAAAAACTCAGCCTTTCGCGAAAAAATAACAATTTACGCAGTCATTAACTGAATTTTTGAATGCATAGCGTGGCTACTAAGATGGCAATATTACGGTAGAAATAATGGCATACAGATGGCGCTAGACTTAGGAGAAACATCTGATTTAAAACAAAAAACAGAGCTGTTTAGCGAACAAAATTTGAGGTGCAATAGCTACTCTGTGCAAAGAATAACGTGTCAAGTTTTTTTTATGTAGAATTTTTGGTTTCATTTTAAAAATCCATAAAAAACGCTAAGTTTAACAACTATTTGGAAAAGATATGGTAGACGAATGTACGAAAAAAACTTTAAGTAACATACCTTTACTGCAAACACGCGCTGGACCCAGAGAAAAGGACATATGGGTGCAACGATTAAAAGAAGAGTATCAGGCTTTGATTAAAGTGTGATTTTAAACGCTTATTAAGTTTTTCATTTAACTTAACAATATTTCATATTTTAGTATGTGCAAAATAATAAAGAATCCGGCATGGATTGGTTTCGCTTGGAATCGAACAAGGAGGGCACCAAATGGTTTGGCAAGTGCTGGTATATGCATAATTTGCTGAAATATGAGTTCGACGTAGAATTTGATGTAAGTATATATCAAAACTACCAATCACGATTGCACTTATAAGCGTAACTTTCACCCTTTGTGACTAGACTAAATATTGAAACATTGATATTCAATTTTAAACATTTGTCGTACAGATACCTGTCTTATATCCAACAACCGCGCCGGAAATCGCTCTACCCGAATTGGACGGTAAAACGGCGAAAATGTATCGGGGTGGAAAAATTTGCTTAACAGATCATTTTAAACCGTTATGGTCCCGAAATGTACCTAAATTTGGTATTGCACATGCTATGGCCTTGGGAGTAAGTCATATTAAAAAATTGTGAATACACGTTAGGTCATATATATAATCTTTAAATATAATCCTTTCAAATTTCAGCTTGCACCCTGGTTAGCTGTAGAAGTACCTGAACTTATAGAAAAAGGGATTATTACTAAGCAATAAGATTTACTTATTTAAGGATTTTTGCTCTTTGTCGCGTTTGCTTTTATTTTCTTTGTATTTAAGAAAGAAGAAAGAAATAATTTTTAGTACATGAAATGAAAAATTTTTATATAAATTATAAAGTCGAAAAAACAAATTATGTCGAAGTCTTATGTAGAAAAAGTGGTATAAAAAAGGAAAATGCATTCATTTTCATAAATTCTTAATAAAATAAAATATTTAAAAAAGAAAATAAATTCAAAAATATCTTCAAATATCCTACGAGTATTTTTTCATTTTTAGATGATTCTCTTCTACGTATATACGTATTATTAATAGGTAATTAAAACTAAATATAATAAAAAATGGCATTTTACGAATTGAAAATAAATAGAATTTAATATTTCTATCGGAAAATATATATAAGTATAAACATTTCTTTTTACAAATAATAAATTAACTGAAAAATTGATGTGAGATGTTAAAGAGTTACAATTTCCTTTTTATGTTAAGTATTTTGTAAGTAAGAAAGTTTAATAGGTTCCAAAAGAAAGAAGTTATATTTTGTGTGTGTGTGTGCGTGCTACACACTCCGTCAAATGTTTGTTGCTTACTTAGCAATCCGTAGTGTTTTTAACTTTGCGAAATACCTTCAAGTATGGTAGACTTGTGTGCGTAGGTGGCAGAAGGATAACAATATCTGCAAATTAGAATAAACAAAAATATTTGCTCATTTCGTTTGGAAAGCAAAAAATATGTAAGGCATCACTGAATATGAATAGAGCGAAACAAAAACCAAACATTAAAAGGGATATTGAAAGTAATAATGACAAACGCTAATATTACTTGTTGAAATAAATAAACATAACTTCATTTGGGGGAGTGGTCAAAAACTGATCGAATTCGAAATATTTTCAACAGCTTTCGTCGTTGGTCCAAACCACATCGGTTCATCAAATTTCATCAAAAATATTTCAAAACTTGCGATTTGCAACTTGAACAAGAAGAGACGGACGGACAGACAAACTTATTGATTCACAGAATATGAATAAGAAATGTGGCTCTATTTCATGTCCTTTTGTATGTTGCACACATTCCTATAAACTTAATGCATCTTTCTCCTACAAACTTGTATAAGATATAATAAATAAATATACATTTAAAAGATTCTCGACTACATTTTGCTCTTCAAAAGGATAAAAATTAGGCCAATATAATCGCCGATCTTTTGCGAACATCCCATTCATATTAAAATTTGTCTCGTGCAATTTGGCAGAGAATATAAGCAATGTACGCACATTTTAATTTGTGCGAATTGAGGTTTTGGTTTTGATGGCTGAGATTCAGACGCCTAAGGGGGGATAATTGCCCACTATACAATGACCTTTACTTGACTATGATGCGCAATTACTTCAAACGGTTTTGTGAAGCTTCTCTCACGTTATAATGTTGAGTGTTCTTAGACATAATAACTTACATTTGTTATTGCACTAATTTACTGTTGCTGTTGAGACGGTGCTGGTACCGGCCTTGCCTGTGGTTGTTGTTTTTGTTGCGTTTGTCCTAAATTTTGTTTCCAGTTATCCGTCCAGATTGAACTCAAACCAAAGGGATCAAAAATTGGTATATTCTCGGTAGCCTCTGTTGACAAATCATTAACTGATCCATTTATTGCCACTACTCCTGAGCTGGTCATGGTAGCAGTAGGCATTTGTTGTTTTTGATTAAGAATATAATGCTTCTCCAAACCTGGGGGTGGACGTATCATATTAGACGTTGTAGTTGTGGTTGCTGCCAAATTCCAAGAGTGGGCACTTTGATTAGTTGGGTCAAAATTGACAGCATTCGTAGAAGTTGCCGGAACAACGGCATTAGAGTTAACCATCGATGGCCACGAAGTGCAATTCAATTGGGACCAATTATTACCTGCTAATTTGGTTACTGAAGAACACGTCGTGCCTTCTAAGAATTGTTGCTGTTGTTGTTGCTGTGAATTGTTATGACCTGACATTTGCTGTTCGCGTAATTTTCGCAAATAATCGCTCGTCTGCTGCCATTGGCATGGTAGTTCATCTTGGGCATGTATCTCATATAAATGATTAGTTAATAAACTGCTTTGCTGTGATTGATGTTGCTCTTGGCGTTGGTGCTGTTGTTGCTGTTGTTGTTGTTGTGAATGATCGTCAAAGCCGTAAGGATTGCCTAAAGTATGGGATAACAAATCAGGGAAATATGAAGAGACTGAACCCAAAGCATTGCCATTATGAAATGTTTCCCACACAGGAGTGGAAGATGGTGATTTACGTGAACCAATAGGACCCAATTCGGATTTTTGGGCTGGAGTTTGTGACGTTGTCGAAGTAGCGAGAAGTTCTGAGTTTTCCAATGACGAGGATTGTAACGCTGGTGTCGGCAAGAGATCATCCAGAAATGTATGCTTAGTTGTAGCGGACTTTGAGGATTGTGATTGCAGGACGTCGCTGAACGTTACTTGACTATTAGTTTCCCAAGGTGATGTAATACAATTTCCTACATAAAGGCAGTCGTTTAAAACTGTAGAAGATTCTTTTTGTTTTTCAGACTTCCCAATAGAATCAGTCGATGGCATAGAAGTATTGGTAGCATTGGTAGAGAAATTTAAAGAATTTGAGGCTTTTAGTTTGGTTTTACGATCTGCTCGAGTTTTGTGTGACGACGAATGTTGAGAATGCATTGAAGATGCAGAACACGTGGAAGAGGAACATGAAGACGACGAGGCTGACGATAAAGAGTGAAGCGAAGAACCGACATCTATAGAGCAATTTTTACGTCTCTCGCGTCCCGGTGTTTTACCTAATTTGCGACCTGCACATACATTTAGGTCTTTAATATTAGGTGGCGTTAAAGCACCTACACACGTCTTTGATGCTTTAATGGATGCTTTAGCATTCGTTTTAGGGGAATTTTTCTCCTTTTTGCTTTCCTTTTCATGAACTTCTTCTTCTGTTTTAGATAACTTAATTAAATCTTCCGTAGCTGCGGTTTCAAAGATTTTGTTTTTCTTGTTACTAATCTTAGGATATGATGTTAACTTTTTCAATCCTCCGTCCATTTTATCTAATAAAGTCTTTTCAGTCAGCTTAGGTTTAAGATTTTTGGCTGTGCTGTCGTTAGGCGAGCTATTATTATGACTACCGTTAGAATTATTAGACACATTAGATGTTAACAATGTTTCGCTTTTGTCCTTAGCCAGACGCTTACGGGATTCACCACTACCAAAAGTCCAATTAACCATATCCGCCAAGGATAGATTACGTTTAGTAATTGAAGATTTTGTTTCTACATTCGAAAATGACTTTTGATTTTTATTAGCGTTTCGTTTCTTTAAACCGCTGTTTCCATTACCATCACTAGCATTAGACTTCTCCTTAGTTTTACCAGTAACGGCCTCTATTCCAGATGTCTCATTAGACGAATGGGAACGCATTGCTATATTGCGCAAATTAAAAGGTTGCATCTGTGCTTTATCCCGGGCCAAAGAAAGTTTCGACTGTTGATAGCATATGTTGCCGTAATCTATGTGGGCAGCGATAAGCACCAAGGCAAACATTATGGATAAAACTACAATTGCTGCACTACGTATACGTGATTCCCAAAAAGGACGAGGCAACAAGGCAATACAACGTTCCAAGCCTTTATTCGGCAATTGTGCTACAAGCACATAATCAAATCCAAACGAATGGTTGGTTTTCAAAATAAACGGTTTCGTAATACGTGTAACAGTGAAATCCGGCTGAAAAGTAATCTCAATCCTACGTGTACCGTTCGTTTTTAACTCAAACGGCGAACAATCAGCTGTACTAAAACCATAACCGGTACATGGCTGATCATCTATAAATATTCCTTTTATCCAAATAGGTAATTCTCCAGAATTACGAGCCGTAAAGACGCGTTTTGCCAGAAGCTGAAACGCCAAAAACGAACATATAAATCAATTTTATTCTTATTATTCATATGAGAATGTACCTTGTGTGCGACATCCACACCAGCCTTACTTGGATTTTGTGTCGCAGAACAAACGCGTTCCATTTGCAGTTCGCTTATTTCAAAGAGGAGCGGATTTAGTGAGCCGGGCTTGCGATTACTTAAACGAAATTGCGATTGGACTGTCTTAGCACTAAGCCAGATAGCCTCATATAAGGTTAAATTATTGCGAACATGCAGCAGAGTGCAATAAGTTCCCGTAGTGTGCGAACGAAATCTAACGGGGACTGAAACGCTTCCTCCCGCGGGTATTAGTAACGGCTTTTCAGGAGGATTGTTGACTAGAGAAAATACCGCTTTATCTGTGAGATAACAACTTGGTGCAATTACAATAACTTCAAGCGGTAAAGAAAGTTGCGTTTGCTTTGCCAGTGACGGATCAGCTAAAAAATAATCAACCAGTATAGGAGTGTCGGCCGGATTCGTGATTGTTACGACATACTCCTGTGTTTTATTCACTTCTGTGGTAGGCAGTACAGCAGCACTACCCACTAATTGTGGCCATTCTAGTTCAATGATGAGATTCATTTGAAATTGTACTGAATCTTTCGTGGTCATGATAAAATCAATATTCTGAAAATACCATTTAAAATGACGATACAATTCGGTCCGCCGTCTCAATTCGACTTCATCAAAATGAGGAATGTGAAGATTATTGCCTTCAAAATTGTTAAGAAACGTGACCACCTCATCTGTATAAGGAGATATGTAACAACGTGAACCGCATAAGAGGGCCGGTTCGAAATAAATTCGTCCAACAGTGGTAACTGTTTCAGGGGATATCTTGGAGCCATATTGCTGGAAATCTTCAAATCGGAAACCCGGTTCGGTAAAATTGATACTACGTATGTTCAAAGGATATTTGTAAGTTGAACGTATACTCAGTTCGGAAGAGCAAAGTTTACCCTGAAATAATATCAAAAAACAAAAAAAAAACAAAAAAAAACGATCGCCATGTTAGTGAAGAAATGTACAAAAATTGCCTTTAAATTAAACGTAGACTTTAATGATATTGAAAAAAAAAATTGGCTGAATTGAATAAGACCTGTTGTCTCCTAATAAAGCATCGATTTTAATATTTTTGCTAGGAATTTACGAAATTTTTCCTAAGGACTACACAATTAAAGAATTCAATGACGTCTGCAAGCTAAGAATTATTATTATGCATAAAAAAAATTCGC